GACCATAACGAGTGACCGAATCGTATACAACAATTTGTCGCTTTTTTTTTTGAACTCGTCAGTATATCACTGGATAGAAATTATTGAGAAGTAATAAATTTATTATTTGCTTTGCCTATTTTGTTTTACTTAAATATACTCGAAACTGAGAAAACTATTACAATGTTGGGACAAAAAATTCTCGACGTGCGTGGTACGTCATTTCAACGCAAGAGGTTAACCACTTGCGGACCATAACGAGTGACCGAATCGTATACAACAATTTGTCGCTTTCTTTTTGCACTCGTCAGTATATCACTGGATAGAAATTATTGAAAGGTAATAAATTTATTATTTGCTTTGCCTATTTTGTTTTACTTAAATATACTCGAAACTGAGAAAACTATTACAATGTTGGGACAAAAAATTCTCGACGTGCGTGGCACGTCATTCCAGCGCAAGAGGTTAAATTTCCTCAGCGAAACTTTGATGAAAAACCTTGGTCGCTGGCATTCTTCTTTTTCTTTTTTTCACAATTCGCTGGCCCAAGTCTCGGAAGGAGAAAATCCAAGCGTGCACAAAGTAGTGGTAGTCTCGAGCGTGCAAAAATATCGCAGAGCAGTCTTCTCTCGTTTCTCGAATCGGGCAGTTGCTCCATCCCTTTCCGTCGAAAATTTCGGCGTGCGTGCCGACGGCCAATCTCTTTCTCTCGCGGGATCGTTGTTTTTCGATGGTGCTCGCCGGCTGGAAAAATACCCTGAAAGATGGTGGCGAGAAAGGAGAAAGAAGGGCAGGGAATTCTGCTCGGTGGTCACGAAACGATTACGGCGGCTCGGACGCCAGAAACTTCGAACTCGCAATGCGAACGACCTGGACCCTGCTGCTTTTCCTTCTCCTTTCCCTTTCTCTCTTTCTTCCGCTTCTTCGTTTCGTCGTTCGTTTGCCAGCTCTGCCACACGCGACCACCACGCACACGTCACGCTCGTTCGGTATTCGCGAAACCAGTTCACGTGCCGTGATCTTCGCCCGTGATCTTGGGCGAATCGCGATCATCATCTCTGTTCACGGTGTTTGCACGTCCGCGCTAATCGCTTTCGGCCGATCGATTTCTACCTACGTACAATATGTACGTACAGGATGTCCGTGACTATCATAGATGAATTCTACGCCTTCGATTCGATGGAGATACGTACACGGAAAGAATCTGTCTTGGTCTTGAATTTCATGGTGAAAAGAAATTTTTGTTTTCTTTTGTATTGTATTCTACTCGTCACGAGGGTAAAATTTTTCCGAGGAACCATAGGTCGCAACCTAATAGTTCTCTTGAGAAGGTTAACGCACTGTGGACGCGTGCGTTCCAACAGCGACTTTATGATTCTGGACGTGCGGATGTCTAATTCTCGTAGCAGGTTTCACGTTAACGTTTCATTTATCATATATCACTGTGACATCAGTGTCAATATTAAAGATCAATAATCAAATGACAAAAACTGACTGTTAACATTATTAGAAATATAACATCACGTCCATAAAGTCGCTGTTAGAACGCAAATCAAATGATTAAGAAACCTTTTTGCCACTTTTCAAGAGAACTGCTTGCAACCTACGGTTCCTTGGAAAAGTTTTACCTTCGTGATAAGCTTTTTGACCCTGAAATTCTAAGTCAGGATCAATTTTGCAGCAGATTATTTACATGTTTTTCCATCGAATCGAACGTGAAGAATTCATCTGTGATAGCCTCAGACCAACTTTAAACTTTTCTCTCTGTAGACTAGTCTCGTCGAATGTTTAGCATTCTTAGTTTAGCGTTAACACGTAATTTAAAAAAAAAAGAAACAAAACAAAACCTCTCGGTAGAATATCGCTTCGCTATACTTCGAATGCTTCGTACGTTCGTCGTCGAGTATTTCGTGCGATCTCGAAATTTTCCATAAACGCAAATCGACGAGGCAAGTAACAGTTTGGCAAGTAGTTCCGTTTGTCTAAGAATGTCCGAGGGTAATAGAAAATCACGATGTTTTCTCGTCGCGATGCCGCGTGTACGCGGTAATAGATTTTCATCGGGTGGAGCTGCTCCGGCATGCGAGTTCCTCGAGCGCACCGTTATCCTTTTTCAATGAAACTGGTTTTTTCGCTCTCGCATCCGCAGTGGCGAGCTCGGCCCATGGCACAGGAAGCGGCCCATGTAAATATGTGTAAATAATTTATCGACACGAGAGCACGCCACGTTGCCGCACGCCGCGATATATCTCGTTCACGGGCACATCGAGTAATTAATGTCTTGCCAGCCCGCGCAAGCCTTACTTTGTCGGGTCGCGGTCAAACTTCAGTCTCGCTGCGTTACGTTTACGAGGAACATGGCATAGATCATCAGGAGATTTACAGCTGAAGAGCGCGACTGAACAATTTGAACATTATAGGGTTAGATGACGAAATACTTGGATTTCTGGGATTTTTGTTCAGAGTTCAATAAAATGACGAAATACTTGGACTTCTTGGATTTTTTTTTGCTCAAAGTTCAATAAAATGACGAAATACTTGGATTTCTGGGATTTTTTTGTTCAAATAAAATGACGGGAAGTAAAGGTCGTGCAACGAGTTTCAAGAACTCTGTGGATCGTTGTATGATCTTTTTTTTACGAAATTGTATTTAAATTATTATGTATTTGCAGTTTAAATTATCGACAATTTCTCTTTATCGTTGTCACAGTTATGCTCTTCAACGTAACGACACACGTAATCCTTTTTCTCACAAACTTACATCAGTTTAATCCACAAATTTTCATTCTTATTGGTACAATTATGCTCTTCACTATATATGATTTTCTCTTACAAAGTTACGATAGTTTGAAATATCGACAATTTTTCATTTGATTTAAGCGTGATACGAAACTGTATAATAATCTTCACGAAAACTGTATAGTAATTGTAACACGGTGGTAGTAGAATTTCTTTGGACAAACCAAAACATTCTACCTATTTTATTTTTCTTACTTATGTTGAAATTCCACGCTTTTGTGTGGTCTTGCTCGTCGCTGTATGTCCTATAAACTGTGAGGGAGCAAAGTTTGAAAAATAGGCAAAATAGTTGAGAGAGCAGACTCGGTATAATTTGGTACAAAGGACCTTTGTCTCAAGTAAAAAAAAAAAAAAAATAAATAAATATTAACAAAAGAAAACGGAAGTACCAAGCAAGCATAGTACAATATATGCATAGACTATAATAGCTATAATAGTTTACCGAGCGAATTCTTGGAAGGAAAGTGTATTTCTACGTTGGAACGAGGTCGCTACGTTCTGCAAACTTACATTCGTTTTAATTCGTTTCATTCAGGTTGCATGTCGTTATTGTTCCCTCGAGTTTCTCGAGTAGCGCGGACTATACTACGATATTTCATCCTTCGTTTTTCCGATGCCTGCTCCAAGTTTGTTACGTGACTTAAGGCTCGAATCCATAGTTGCTTCGCTTTTCGCGGTAAAGCCAGCGAAATAAAAGTCGTGGACGAGGGATTGGGACTTGACTTGAAAGTTAATAAACGCTCGTTCGATTGTCACGTTGTCGAAGAACGAAATACACTCGTCACAGACTTAGGATGCGTTCCAATTCGCGGCTCTCGCGGATTCTCTGTTCTCTTCGAGCGCGAGAGAAAGCAAAACATTGGACGCAAGGTTTAGCTAGTGGCCGGCCAGGCCGACAGGAATGCTACGGTGTTGTTGGATAGGTCGTAACTCTCGTCGACGTGTCGCGCGCGAGGGATGGACCAAGAACAGGCAATTAATTACAAGCTCGCTTAATTAAAGTGGGCCTTTGCGTTTCGCGACACACGAGGGCCTCCACTTTCAGACCTGTAGCGCCGCGAGTATACTCGCTTCTACGTTCGTACAAGCCACGGACGTAACTTTGATCCACTTTCACGTCTTTCCACGAACTTGAGGATCGTTTTGTCCATAGTGATTGTTTCCACATTTTGTCAGAGATCGTATCGTCTTTGTGTAGGAAAAGTCTCATTCGGGTCTAATTCGAAATACTGTAAATTGTAGGAGTTCTTAATCTCCATTGTAAGGAAGAGTGAATAATAATCTTTTGTTATATTAGTAGAGTGGAAAATTCTCAGAAAGTAAGAGAACAAAAATCGAGACGTTTATTATAAGCAAAAATATAATAAAAATTTTATTGGAACAATGGCTATAACGAATGTAGACTAAAATTGTTTTGCTCAGTGTCTGAGGTGGTCGATGCGTAAAGCTACTTTGCAGTTATCGCATTGATAAATTGTTTTTCTTTCTTTCCTTTGAGATAAGCAAACGACGCGAAGCTTTTCCTTGACGAAGTTCGTTTCACTATTGGAAAATCGTTCGATCCAGTAAACCTTGATGGCAATAACGGGCATTTTGTGACTTTTTCGTGTTTTCTTTCGTATCTTCTTTCTGTTTCCTCGTTCTTTTTACATTATCTTCAATAATTTCTTCAGCTAATTTTTGCTAGAGAAGAAAATAATTTAACTGTTCAGACCAGAAATATAAATGTCAGGAAAACTGAGCCAATTTGTCCATCTAACAAACCTAAATATCGGACACAGGTAAATTTATGCGTGAAACTTAAATTTTCGAGGTCCTACTCTTTACATATCTGAACGTATTTTTTGTTCTTACCAATTACACGACACAATAAAAAAAAAAGACCTTGAGAATCATCAATGACCTTAAAATGTCCTTAAAAAAAATATTCTCACCAGTTACACAGCCTTTTGGATGCCATTCGTATTGGGTAAAGAATATTTTTCACATCATCGCGATTCGAGAACGTATTCAGGTGGCCATCTTGTATATACGCTAATGACGCACATATGTAGGTTAACATTAGATAGACACGGAACTGATTTACGCCAACGATCAAGCAAGTACGCCATCTACCGAGAACTACGTTCTATCGGCAACTACGTCCGTGCAAAAACGGATTTTTCGATATGCCTCTGATTCTTTCCGCTTCAGCGTCTGCGAGTATCCACGTGTGCTTTCAGTTTCTAAATCGAAAGCGGCCGAGCAGTCGATCGTCGACGAACGATGAATCGAGTCGATCGCTGAAGGTGTAACATTCGCTGCAAAGTGTCAGAACCACTTGACTCGACTCCGGCCACGGCGGATAGCCAAAGCGGGGCAGTAAGTAGCGCGTAAACGAGGCGCTTAAACTTGCTGCTTGCCGCAAGCAGTTGAACTTGCTTCTCGGCGAGAAATGGCGTTGACACCGGGGCGATGCCGGGCGGGAGGAGGCGAGAACCTTTCGAAGGACGTGACGAAAGACGAGGACGAGGTGGCGAACGCCGGCAATTTGGAGCCCCTGAGCGACTCCTGCGGCGAGAGCGACATGGAGGGTCTCGATCTCTCTCTGTTCGAACCGCAGGTCGACACCACTTCCTGGTGCGACTCCCGGATACACGCTGGCACCCTTCACATCCTCGTCCATTACTGCGGTAAGCTCTGACGATATTTCTTTCAACACTGCCAGCCCCCAGTTCGTAATTTTCGGCAACTCACAGAACAGAAATCAGAAATTCTGTTCGTTCTGTTCGCGAGGAATCAAGTTGATCGCGAACGTTTGAACGTTCTGTTCTTCCATATGACGGGGAATGTCTCCGAACTTTGTTTCTTGTATCATTGTATCGCGCGGGTATTTCGAATTTAAACGTCGTAAATTTTGGATAAATTAAATTTCCCTTGCGCTGGAAAACTGATTCGCGGACCATAACGAGTGACCGAACCGTGTACAATAATTCGTCCCTTTCCTCTCCATTTGATTCCTCGTCGGTACGACATCACTTGGATAGAAATTATTAACAAGTAGTCGACTTATCGTTTGTCTTGCCTGGAAAAGTTATAGAAACAGTACAAGTTGTAATAATTATAATAGTATACAATATAACATAGTATAAGTTATCGGGAACTTTCGCGATCGACGAAAGATCGACTTGGAAGAAAACCAGTCGAACAGCTGCGAGATAGGATGGTCGAACGAGCTATCGTCTGTCTATTCGTCTCTTAATCCCGACGTAATCCCGAGAAAGTTGCGAGAGAGTCGCGGCATCCCCATCTTGCAGATGCATTTCAGCCCCTGCGTGGCGCAGCCGCGCGTACACGACGCTCTTCTCCTTCGGCTTTTCATTTAACACAACAGATTAATTCGCGCCGGTAAATCACGCTGGCTGGGGATGCTCGTCTGCGAGCGTGTCGGAGCCGCGGTCGGCATTGTACACGCTGGTTAATGATAATTGGCCCGCGGCTCCGAAATAATAGCGCGGACACTTGGCTTCGAAGGCGCGTGCTCTCCAACTTCTTTTCGAGAGATATCGCGTTGAACTTAAACGCGATGGCGAAGAGAACATTTTTCATTAATCTCTTGCGTCGGAATGACGTGGCACGCACGTCGACAATTTTTTTTTTTTGTCCGAAATTGCAACGTTTTCTCAGTTATAAGTATGTTTAAATGTAACCCAGGCAAAACAAATGATAAGTTTATTACTTTGTTTAATATTAAATACTACTTATTGCTACAACTTTTATTTAATATTACTATTGTAGATTAGAAATATGTGGATTATACTTTTAGAAATATTACTGTAACTTTTATTTAATATTACCATTATAGATTAGAAATATATAGATTATACTTTCAGAAATGTTACTGTAACTTTTATTTAATGTTACTTTATAGATTAGAAATATATAGATTATACTTTCAGAAGTATTACTATAACTTTTATTTAATATTATTATTATAGATTAGAAATATATAGATTATACTTTCAGAAATATTACTATAACTTTTATTTAATATTACTATTATAGATTAGAAATATATAGATTATACTTTCAGAAATATTACTATAACTTTCATTTAATATTACCAGATTACTATAGATTAGAAATATATAGATTATACTTTCAGAAATATTACTACAACTTTTATTTAATATTACCATTACAGATTAGAAATATGTAGATTATACTTTCAGAAATATTATTATAACTTTTATTTAATATTATCATTATAGAAATATATAGATTATACTTTCAGAAATATTATATAATTTTTATTTAATGTTACTATTATAGATTAGAAATATACTACAACTTTTATTTAATATTACTTTATTTAATATTAAATGATCTTAATAATTTCGATCCAGTGATATATCGTACCGACGAGTTTTTCAAAAGAAAAAGAAAGCGACGAAATTATCGTGTACGGTTCGGGTCACTCGTTACGGTCCGCGAGCCAGTTTGCCAGCGCAAGAGGTTAAGACAGAGCGATTCCTGCGGTTCGGAGTATCGCTCGATTGTTAGTTAACAAGGATTCTCGATACGGATCTCCCTCGAACACAACTCTGGCCCACCAACTCGCCGTTCCGTACCGGCGAGATAATTCTTTCGCATTAGCCGTAATTGGCGCGTTCACCGTCGTCACCTGGCTGCCGCATGCCGGCACGATCGCGAGAGGGGAAAAAAAAAAAAAAAAAAACGAGAAAGGTGAGCGCGAAGAGGATCGCGAGAGAGATCCGCACGATCCCCGAGTGCAGAGTGAAAACGCCGGTGATCGATCCGCGGCGGGGACCAATTAAATCGTGATACGGCGTGCGGATGCTACGCCGGCAGATACAATCTCGCCGATCGCAATAAATCGATGTAGGTAAATGAGCCGTGTCCTTTCTATCGTGGCTCTACCGCGTCCTCCTTTCTCCTTTTCGTTTACCCGGTTGCAAACCGACCGATTCCTCTCTGAAACAGAGTGCGCAGCAGATTCTTCCCTCTGTGTAGTACGTGCACAGATGTTGTTTTGCTGATGAGGCGGTTCGGGAAGGAAAAACGAGGATAGGTCACCCGAGGCTGATTTTCATGTCCGTCAGAGTCGGACGAGTATACGGCGGTAATCACAGTCGCTGGCTAATCGAGTCGTTTCTCTCTACGGGCGAGTGCCTCTTAATCGAGGCGTTTCGCTACTTCGCGGAACCTGCTCGATGGGAAAAACTCTGTTTTCACGTTGATACGAGAATTGGAAACTTTCTTGACGTGGGCAGAAGAAAATGGCGGAAAAATGGTAACTGTTCTCGGAATGGACATTTTTTTAAAAGGAATTTATTTATTACTCGGTCTCACGTTGACGGGTCTTTTTTTCTAGATTATTTTCTAGTTGATAGAGAATTGGAAACTTTCTTGACGTGGGCAGAAGAAAATGGCGAAAAAATGGTAACTGTTCTCGGAATGGAAATTTTTTTAAAAGGAATTTATTTATTACTCGGTCTCACGTTGACGGGTCTTTTTTTTCTAGATTACAAAATAAGTTTTCATATGAATAAATATTTTTTAACGAGAGCAGACGCTTTCTCGATATTTCTTTGGCCGATACAGACGCGCAGAAAAAAATGACGAAAAAGTAATAACTTGTTCTATCGGAATGGAAATTTTCATTAAAGAATTCATTATTTGGTCATACGTTAATGAATCTTTTTTAGATTAAATAAGTTTTTATAGTTTTGAATAAATATTTTTTTTAAAAGGAACAGACAAAGTTGGTTTGACTGTAATGTAAAATTCAACTATGTATCTAGAACTAGTGTAGAAAAAGTCACGATACTTTCTTTTTAAAACTCATTTCGAAATTGATAAAAATTATATAGAAATTATTCAAGAAATTCGTCACTGTTATGTTAAATCTTATCAGTAATTTTAAAGGTATTGTAATAAACTAAATCTTATAAAAACGATTATGATAGATGTTTGATTGAAAAATTCATCAATTTTTACATTTAATTTCACGCTTCAATTTTAGAGTCAATTATATATGTTTACAAAAATTACAAGTAAGTATCACGAGCTACGGAATATTTCACGACACGAAAATTTTTCAAGTCTTATACTAAGGGGATATATTATTTCATTTTTCCGCATTGAATCGAACGTTCTGGGAATCGTGAAAGAAAGGAAACAAAAAAGAAATCGTAAAAAGAGAACGGAAATTGGAGAACGTGAGCGAATTCCAGAGAGACGGAGATAAATTTGCAATCTTCATTTCTAACGCGATAGAGAGCTGTGAGTTGTGAGTTCGGCTTCGCTCGGCACGGGAAGATCGACGTCGAGCTCAGTCGTGCGGGTAATTAAAAACGTCAGCGGCCGATAATTATAACGTCCGTTGTCGAGTGATTGCGATTTGTCTTCGCAAGTGGGAAGAATCGATCTGAACCATCGTCCATTGTTGATTGTCCCTGGAATAATTAACGAATTAGCGATTTCAAACTTGAACCTCGTCTGACTTCGACACAGCGGTGAAATTACGCTCACGGACATGTTACCAATATTTTTCTAGCGACTTGTGATAATTAGATGATTATCGATTTGTTCGTTCAAGTCTGCCTCGAGTTCGCACGAGCGATAAAGTATTTTTGTAATTTCAATTCGAAATCGAACGTGACGAAATCGAGATGAAATGGAACGTCGGTTGAAATCCTGATAGATTAGAGGATAATGTATATTTTAATCACGAATTGACAATTTCTTTTACGGTAGAAAAAATTAGAGGCGTTTGAATGATTTAGTTGAAAGTTTCGTTTTCAACGTGATCGCCGAGCTTTACCCAGATAAATTTGTCTCGGCTTACGTGTCACGTTCTACACGTTCTATACTTGTAAATCGAGAATGTAATATAATAATCGGGTCGCAGTTAGCGCGAATCTTAGACGCAAAATTAGAACGTTTCGTTCGCGATAACTATACCGTATAACTATATACATACGTTCGTGTCGAGTGTGAGACATCGTTAGACTCCGCGGTCTTGTGACACGCGGAATTTTGAATTATGCCTTCGCGATACGTCGGCGAACCAGTTGAAGCGGAGTTCCACCAACACGGGCAAACACGTTATCGCGAGCTCGCGTGACTTATTTAACTTTTCACTTCGCGACTCCGTATTTCCAGATCGGAAGAGTAGCCGCGGTTCTTGCTCTTTCTCTCTCCGTGGCAGATATCGGATATCGCGTTACTCGCGATCTAACAATACCCGAGACAGATGCGACTGACCCAAATTCTCCGATTTAACAGCTCTCCCATGAATTTTCCACGAGCTTTCCAATTCGGCTTCAGGTGGCTGGAAAACTCGGCATGTAAATTCCGGTTTCTTCGTCCGGTTTTATCGATCGTTAAAGTTGTACATTACATATAATTTATGTGTATTATTATATATAATGTACATAATATATATTTAAATATATTATAATATACAGGGTGTTTCGTAACTTGTGGGATCCTGATTGTACGCCTAAAAATAATGAAAAAAAAGTCATATAAATATATGTCCTCGTTTACGAGATATAATGAATTTTCTGTTTCAATTACTTTTACAAAAGATATGACCACCTTGCATTTGAAGACAAGCCTACACGCGTCNTTTATGAAATTCATTATGTCTCGTAAACGAAGACAG